ACAAACAGACACTCTATTTTATTTATGTATAGATTCATGTACACGCGTGCGAAGCCGGGGTGGGTAGCTAGTCGTACATAAAGCTATACTATAATACTGAATATCTGTCGCATTACTAGAAAGTATCTGACTTCCTCAATAACACATACATCTATATTTATTTTTAATATTATAATAGTATTAGACTAAAAAGAAGAAAATTCATGAATAACAATGTTTGTATCTTCCGCGAATAGAACCCGCGACCAAGAAAGACGTGTTAACCGGCAGACCACCGGCGTCAGTTGGAAATGTTACACACAACGCTGTACTGTCCATACACAACGCATTATATCGTTAATATCCGAAAACCTTTATCGGAACATTATCGTAAATTAATTACCGGTTAAATAATTACCCCATTACATTTCCGTGTCAACGCTTTGTGCACGGCGGACGATTGTAATGTTAATACATTTGTGGATGCACCTATTGTGTGTATCACGGCCGCAGTGATCTAGTGGTTTAGCATACCGCCTTACTTCGCATGGTCGCAGGTTCGATTCTTCATATAGTACAAATATTCATGACTATGATTTTTTGTATTGCTCTAGGTGTTTTCTTTATATATTAAGCGGTTTAGTATACCACCTTGCTTCGCATGGTTGCAGGTTCGATTCTTCATATAGTATAAATATTCATTAGTATGTTTGTTTGTAGTGGTCTGGGTGTTTTCTATGTATATTATATACGTATTTACAAAAAAATATTTATATGTATTTATGTATTTATATCAGTTGTCTAGTACTCATAAAACTCGCACCGAATAAACATTTGTATTCATGAGTATGATTTTTTTATTGATCTGGGTGTTTTCTATGTATATTATATATCATCATCATCATTGCCTTGCCTTTATCCCATTATTTGTGGTCGGCGCAGTATTCTCTTCCACTGCTCTCTATCGTTCGTCATATCTGAACATACTCTTCTTATATATTTCTTATATCTCTATTATATATGTATATACAAAAAAATGTCTAAGTGCATATTTATATAAATACATACATAATGCATTATGGGTACTAGACAACCGATACCGATACCCATAACACAAGCTCTGTTACCGTAGGACTAGATGGCGCTGTGTTAATTGTCCAGGGTTATTTATTTATTTATTTATAAAAAACGTTTATTAGTATTTATATCGGCTGTCTAGTACCCATAACACAAGCTTTACTTTGCGTGGCACTAGATGGCGCTGTTTAATTTGTCCTGAGATATTATTGATATTCATAACTAATTTTATAAGATACTTAACATCTCCTATACACAATAAAAAATCTATATATGATTCGAATCTCGCATTTCTCTGCAATTAACAAATTTGCATTTAAATTTGTTTAGTGAATTTTTTCATTGTGAGCTTTGTTTTTTTTTAATAAAACAACCCATATCTTTCCTTTTTATTACATATTTGCTGTAACAGAATTACCTAACGAATACAAATCATATCTACCATCGAGGACAAACTTATTACATGATCTATAACAACTAAAGCCACTTAACTAAAACCAAAAGCGCAACCAACAGCCCGTAACGCAATAAACCAATAAAACAAGTATATAAATAAAAATAACTGCCCAATATAAATAACAGTGGAGTAGTCTAACTGTACTCCACAGCGGCTCAGGGCGGCGTGTCACACGACTGAGTTATGGCGTCACACGACATAAAATATACAACAAAAACTGTTGTTCTTCCAACTGTTTTGCCCCATATTAAGAATGAGCACAAACAGAATGTGGATTCCGAACACAAACTTATATGGAGTCGCAAATGATTACTTTAAATTGCAATTAGATAAAAATTGAAATACAAAATTTAACTTTTTTAATGGTTTGCGTTTTATATAGTACTGATGGAAAATATACATCATTACTTAAAGACTTCGCTCGGAGTATCATGCATTGTCATAACTGAGAACAGTGTTGTTGCTCAAAAGTATCACCGTCATTCTGTAAAACAATATTACATTTAAAAATCATGTAATTGGGTGATAGAAAGAAGTGATAGATTTAGTGAGAGACTAAATTTAAACTTTTTGTGAGAGATTTCAAATATAACAAACACAGTTATCAACCCACGGTAACAATCACGGAGCTTACCGTGGTGTCAGGAACAAGTAAGTTTTTCTAAATCTATTGTAACTATAAAAATATTTCCAGGCACATGTAAAGTACATTTTCCATACACAATACTAAGGTTTAAAATTTCGAACAGTAATTTATAAATCACCATAAAGTTTTCATCTTCTACCAACTTTATTGATTGACTTGCTCTCCACAAATCCATCTGCGTCAGTTTTTCACCTTTTTATACTATACATATTCATTATTACTCCGCTCCAATTAATTGGATACGATTAATCGTACGATTAATCGTAGCGTGATGTTATATAATATATTCTACCTCGATATATCTAACACTTTATTTTTTTTATAATTCGTATTAGTAATTTGTGAATGTAGCGTGTTTAAATAAATAAATAAAATTATCAGCTTTAGAATATTAGAAGCACATACCGTCTCCACGCCATTTCATGTTCTTCTCCTCAGCCCCGATTCGAGCTCAGTTCACGGGGTAATTCGTTATTTTTATTGTTTTTTGTTATTATGATCCTGTCCCCCGGATTACTGTCCGTGATACATGGCAAGCGCTGGATGCGTTTAATTGCCACGGATGCTTTGCAAATGCGATAAATAAGATTAAGGTACAGTAGATTTGTATATACAGAATGATGCAATCTGTATTTACCAGTATCTAAACGTGTAAGAATTGTAAAAAGTAATCACAATAGAGTATTTCATTATAACACTAGCTACTCGCCCCGACTTCGCACGGGTGTACATGTATTATATACCTTCCTCTAGAATCACTTTATCTATTTAATAAAACCGCGTCAAAATCCGTTGCGTAGTTTTAAAGATTTAAGCCTACATAGAGACGGACAGACAGCGACAGCGACTTTGTTTTATACTATGTAATGATTAGGTAATTCCATGTTTTAATTCTATAAAGCTACAGAAAATAATAGCCACGAATAATCTTTTAAATATCGATGCATCTACTGGCGTGCTATATTATAAGATCTATCGATTGCTCGTGCTGTGTCAAAATCAAAAACAGCCTTTTTATTCAGATTTTCCTGAACTAAATAATATTTAATTATAATTTTGTATCCGATGAATATCAAAAAAACACTAACATACATTATATCTATATGATGTATCACAATATATATAGATATTATAGTATATTGAATAAAACCAGTATATTTAAAAATATAAAATATTTATTATATAATATAACTGTACAGCTTTACATCTATTTACAATAACTACTACATCTAATAACTAATGGGATTCTCGATGTTTCCAAAGATCCATCAACTGGCCAAACTCTCTTCGTCTCCGTCGCTCGCATCTGATTGCCGGACTGTTCAATGCGGAACTGAACTTCTTGACCAGCTCCGTTACTGATGGCGATTCTTCAATCAGAGACTCAGTACTGGATGCCTCTTCTGATATTCCATCGTTAGAGAAACTTCCGATGACATCTCCGCCATTTTCTGAATGACTTGATATCGATTCATGCTGAGACGTACTGCCAGAACTCGGAAATATCCCCAAAGACTCGAACATATCATCGATCTCGTTGCACATGACGTCAATTCTGTTACATATCTCTTCAAACGTCATCGACGAAGCGTTACAGCAGTTATCATAATCCAACTGCATGGAGTTGTCTTCCAAATCTTCTATAAACTCATTGAAGTCGTCAGCAGGTTCATTTATTGATTTCTGGAATCTGGTCGATGAATCAAATTGCGTGATTCCGAAATTCAAAATACTAGAATCTGTAGTCGATAAATCGTCTTCTGTATCTAGGTCTACAGGCTGACCCCATTCTTCTTCAAGCCTTTTCCAATATTCGCTTCTAGAGAGTACTTCCTCTGTATCCAGAATAAAAGCCATTTTGTTTTAGCTTGTGTACAAATTAGGTGTTTATGTCGTCAAAGTTACAGTACGACTGATAACAGGTCATATGATAACAGCAGTTTTATAGTATTCAAACGTTCGCAACATGCTGCTATTGTTAAAAGAAAACAATAGCCAATGTCAATAAAGGCATTATGCGAATTAATACTATTTGGGCAAAGTCATTAACTAATGACCGATGCCCGGGCGGCGTTGTTATTATTTTATTGTCATTGTTTGTACCAAGTTTATCACAGCTATTAATGCCTATTGTGGAAAGTCTCGTGATAGTTAATTTGTTATTATTTTATTTTGCAGTTTTGAAATAAACATAACAATTAGTGCTAGGACTGTTGGTCATTCCTAGAATAAGTAATTAACTATGCATCTATTGACAACTGTTCATGCTCGTGATTTCATGCATGTGGTTTGGTGGTGTAAGTCAAGCGAAAAAATAAATATATACAACGTAATAATTACTGTAACAATAAAAAAAAATTAAAATTTATCGCCTTTTAAAATCTCAACCAGAAGGAAATTGGTCATATTGTCCTGTTGGTAGCTCACAACACATTATATATATAATAATAATATTTTGACTAATTTAACATATAAATGGTAATAAAAAAAAGACTAACGCCCAAATTTTCTATTTTATATAACAATATTCCTCTGCATTGCATTTCGCTTTATAAATAATTATTACTTAATTTTTTTTTATATGCGACGATAATAATAAGAATATACAATAATTTTAAACAAAACAAGTATAATGTCAAGTTAAATGTTAAATTATAACAATATACTTTAAACAATAGATACAAGAAAGAAAATATAATAACACGTATATTGAGCCGCAACGTCAATTAACTAATTGCCTGCCCTTAGAGACTATATAAGCGGCGTCACAATTCCAGACCCCGTCAAATATATAAACACTGCAGTGACGTTGACACGCTATCAGAAGGCTTTGAAAACAAAATGGCGTCTTATCTTCTTGACATAGACGAGATACTTGCTACAAACGAGCAGTGGAGGCGTCTCGAAGAACAATGGGGAAAACCTGTGGATCTAGACACAGAAGAGGACTTCATGCCATCAACGTCCAAACCTCTATGCGATACATTGGATTTGAAAAGGACTACGTTTAATTCATCACATCTTTTCAAGATCAAAAAGACGAAGAAAGTAAACAGAAAGCCAACGAAAATACCCTCACTGGATTATGCAGATTTCATTGAAGATTTAGAGCAATTCGATCCGAGCGATCAACCTGCTAAGCAGTTTTACTACGTCGGTGGTCAAGTCCTATCAGCGGCGTCAGTTGAGAATATATGCGAAGAGATTGATGAGATCTTCAAATCTGCGGAGATATTTTGTTGCACAACAAGCACAATTCGTTGCAAAGAGAAGCCGGGCAAGAGAAAGAGAGTTATTCCTTCATTTGTTGAACGTAGTATATCGTACGATGGCCTATCGTTTGATGATACTATTGTTTCTGAAAAAGTAGAAGAGAATAAAGACGGCTTGGATTCGTTCATAGATGAAGCGTTTGGACAAATTGATTGCACGATCTCTAATAGTATTATAGTTTGAATGTTTAATTGTAGGTAGTTACTAATTTAATTATTGTAATTTTTAATTATTGTATTTATTTTAGCATAAGTGATTTTGTAAATAGTATTTGTAATAAATTATTTTTTTTTATAAAATTTTTACTTTTTTTATTATTTATACTGAGTTTATGTACTTATATATAATACAACAAATTAAGATCTCTTTCTTAGTCTAATTCTGTTCTTCAGAAGTTTATTTTTCAGGAACCAATGTTTTTCCTTAAATGAAAGGCAGTAACTAGTGAGTCACTATATTTTTCTCAACTTCCGTAACTCTTTTCTTCTCCAACGAAGAAATAGATTTGGACTGAAATTTTCTTCATCAAATTATTGTTGTTTGTACCAGTGAGATCTCTTCTCTGAAGAATAACTCCTCATTTATAGTTACTGTACCACATCTTACCCTTCAACAATAGCTTAAAAACAAGCTGCTTGGCGGCTGATAGCATATATACCTATTAATAACAACAACAAAATGTATTGTTAAAAATACCGGCAACGTCTGACAGTGTGAGTATATTTGACACAAAAGTATAGAATTAACATAAATTAAGAAACAAAATGTGTATATAAAAAAATATGATTCAAAATAAGAATATGTTATAAAGATCTGTCGGCAATAGATAGTCTGTGCTCAAATTAAGTATAGAATAATATTGTCTGTTTTTAATATTTTTGTATATAATCTCTCTGAATGTCAAATAGTTAAGGTCGAATTTCGATCACTGGTCTGTGCTCAAGTTGAATACTGTTTATTTTTAATAACATTTGTCTATAGTCACTGAACGTCAAATAATTATAGTCGAATTTCGAACATAGTTTCGACCACTAGTCATTTTTAAATTTAGAATTTTGACAATAGTTTTGAAATCAGTGGCAAAATTATATGATATTACCGACAATAACGTACAAGTTAATTACCTGGACAGTTCACAACAAATAGGAATTCATGGTTCATTAACCAAACAACGGTTGGTTCCGTATGACTACTAGCAGCAGGACACCGGCCAAGTTGGATGCTAAATCACGTTCTGTGCCTGCGGACCTTGCTAATAAGATATACGTCTAAACATTGGAACTATATACGCGCATTAAACACGCTAGCAAACTAAAAAAAATATATTTTACTAGCTCTTGCCCGCAGCTTCGCTCGCGTTAATTTATCCTTTAGGGATGGAATTTATCAAAATCCTTTCTTAGGAGATGCCTACGTCATTTATGCATGCAAAGTCTCAGCCCGATCGGTTTAAAATTGACAAAGTTTCATACCAATTTTCACCCCCTATTTTATCCCCTTGCGGGTAGAATTGATCAAAATCCTTTCTTAGCGGATGCCTACGTCATAACATCTACCTGCATGACAATTTTAGTCCGATCCGTTCAGTGGTTTGGGCTGTGCATTGATAGATCATTATGTCAGTCACCTTTGAGTTATATATATAGATAGATTGTTTACAGTATAGAAACGAGAGATTTTCACAGGCATTTTGCTTAATTTAAAAGCCATGGTGGTCTATTGGTTTAGAGCACCGCTTTACTTTTTGCTGGTCAGGGTTTCGATCCTCGGTACTGTAGAAACCTTTTTAGTCATGAGTATGTTTGATTATTTATATTAGCTTGGATGATTTCTCGGCATATTTTTGGTATGTATTTGTCATCAGGTTCATCAAACTTTAGGCAAAACTTTAGGTATGTGGAGAGCAAATAGCAATCTCAATCTAATGGAATACCTTCTATACAACACGATAAGGAATAATTTTTTTAAAGTAATCAATTTTGATTATTAACATTTTAGTTGATTTATATTACTTTTTAAATATGATTTTATTTTTTTATAGATTTCAGCACTTAATGGATTTTTTTATTTTTTATTGGGTTGTTTAGGCTATTGTCATATGTGTAACACCTGTAGCACTGTGACCTACATAGATCTATTGTGCTCGCCCTTTTCAAAGTTCGTTACCCAGACCCGTCAGGGACAAGAATTGAAGGATATTCTTAGGAGCCATGGTTTTTATCTCCTCGGGAAAGAGTGTATGTAAACTTTCCAAAGGAGAGATTTTGTTTATGCATGAGTGGGCTACAACCACATAGGATGTGAAGCGGTGTTTACTTTATGGATCACAACACTTATCATTAAATATTTCAGTATCTATTTTTAATAGATTTTAAGACATGTAAGACATGCTTAATAGTGTCTTATAAGTGACTTCCCTATTTTGTTTATATTTATAATTATGCCTGTAAATGACCTAGGTTTTCCAAATATAGGTAAATAAATAAATATAATGTGGGAAACACGTTCTGGTATTTATTACATGTATATATAATTGTAAAATAGTCAATTGAAGTGATATACTGCATATTTTTGGTATCCGCGCTCCCAGCCCCCAAGATACTACTAGTTTGGGGAGTACAGACAATAGAAATATATAAAAATTGTATTATATTGTAAACATGTAAATGTAAATCTATATACAAATGTAAATGTTAATCTATGTAAAATTTAAAAATGAAATAAATTAAATTGAATTTAATAATATCTTTGCAATTTTCTCATTATTACGGTTGTAATTAAAATTGCAAGAATTTAACTTAAGCATTTTTTTTACAATCTTATATATATAGTATTGTAATAATCATTCTTTTTAATAAATCTAAAGTGACGTGTGTCTGTTCATGATAAAATAAAAAAAAAACCTCAGCAGAACCGCTACAACTTCGGGACCGTGTGTTTCAATGCTGTTTCGTGCACTGACCGGAAGCGCAAACTTATTCCTTGCTCATGTGAGTTGGACAGTTTGTCAATTTATGAGGGCGTGCGGAATATCGCGGGCGCAGCGGATCCCAAAGCAGATTCTGTTAATTGAGTCCATGTGATTACTATCTCTAGACTGATTGATTACAACTGATCTTTTTTTATCTTATATTTCCTGATATGATACAGGTCATACATACCCCTTGCGGATGATGGTTAGAAATTCCATTGGAACCCATTTTTTTTAATCCTACAACATAGTTAAAACTATTTAGCGGGTCGTATATATATATATGGCCGTCTAAATAGTTTCATACATTGATTGAGACCATCTGACTACAATCACTAGATTGATTGATTACAACTGATCTTTTTTATCTTATATTTTATTATATAACACAGGTCGTACATACCTTCTAGAGGGGTGAAGATTTGGCCTCGCGACGAACTCCTTTTTTATTATTATTATTATTTTCTCATTCATAACCTTCTGAAGGAAGGTGAAGGGACTTCCGGCGAACTTCTATTTTTAAGATTTATTCAGCCATTTCAAAGATTAGCCGAAACAAACAGACAAAAATTGTAAAAAATGTTATTTTGGTGTATGTACCGTATTTATATTCATATGCATGTGTAAAAGTACTATATACTCACCATAGAAATAACAAGACTCAAAAATAACAGAGTATTAGGAGGCGGCACAAAAGGCGGCAGTAAAGAGAAAAAGTGGCATCATAAAGGCAATAACATAACAAATTATTAATAATGAACAACACATATTTTTATATTTTTTAATCCTCCAAGTATGACGCTTCATTATCATTGCATAGTATAAAACAAAGTCGCTGTCGCTGTCTGTCTGTCCCTATGTATGCTTAAATCTTTAAAACTACGCAACGGATTTTGAAGCGGTTTCTTTTAATAGACAAAGTGATTTAAGAGGAAGGTTTATATAATACATATACACCCGTGCGAAGCTGGGGTGAGTAGCTAGTATATGTATAAAGCTACTTAAACTGCCTTATATGATGGCCGGTGGTCTAGCTGTTTAGCAGACAGCCTTATTTCCAACGGTCGCATGTTCGATTCGACATTTATATTTAACAGTATGATAGTTTATATTGGTCTAGATAGTCTAGCGGCTTATCACACTGCCTTACTTCCGATGGTCGCAGGTGCGATTCCCCGCACCGTACAAACATTTGAACTCATGAGTATGATTGTTTATATCGGTCAGGGTGTTTGTATGTATTAACAAAAACTATACGTAAGTATTTATATCAGTTGTATAGTACCCATAATATAAGCTAAGCTTGTGACTAGATGGCGCTGTGTGAATTGTCCAAAATTATTAATATTTTTTTTTTTAATTTGAATTGTTTCTTGAGTTAATAATTGAATGTGATATAACGGATTTGTCTTTGTCTTAGACGTTTGTGACCTTATTTTTAGCAGGCGTCGCGTTTTTTATAATTAACGAAACTTAAGTAATGCAGTTAGGGCAAAAATTAAGCAACAGTGTCGGTCCATTAGTAAAGTCACAGGCCGCTCTCCGTCAATTTGGCAGAATCACCGGCGTGAAGTGTTTTTTAATTAATTTCATGAGTGAATTTCGTTGCGGGACAAAAGTGCTATAGAGGGTATGCCCTAAATAAATATAATGTCACAAACTTTTTTCAAACCAAAAGTAGTTCTTATATTAATCAGCAAGTATGCAGTGTGCACAAGAAAGTATATTGAATATTAAAAGTAATAAAGTTTATAAATGTAAATTCATTGAATTTATACTTTTATTTGCTTCAATTATGAGAATATTTTTATAAAGTTATATTAATTTAACTTTTACCTAAGTTATTAATATAAGCTTTATTATTTAATTCAGTATATGCTTGTCGCACACTTCAACAGGGATCGCCATTATTTTTTTTGCTAGCAAATTGAACAGATAATATCATTTCTCGTATTTTCATATTGTTTTAAAACAATATGAAAAATGTCTGATATTACATTTCATATTATAGTATCTATTTTATATTTATGTCATCATAATATACTAAGTATCAACTGTATATACACAAGATATTCAAAAAGGTAATTTATAATTTGAACCTATTTCATAACAATTAGTGCAATCAATTTTAAGGTGTTTTATCACCGTAAAACTAATTGTATTTATTTATAGTACAAGAAAATATAAAATAATTTTGGTTGGTGGCGACTCA